TTTGTAGAAGCCGCCTTGATGCGGTTATACATAGCCGCAAGCTCACCATTAGGGTCGGGACGCATGAATGCCGGTAAGGTCATCGGTCTTGCATTCCGACCGGACCGGTTCTTCCCGGCATCACGACCATTTTTAGCATTTTTAGCAAACATTTTGATCGGTGGTTTGGTTTTGATCAATGGGATGGAGAGCGATGAAAACACGTCTGCTTTGAAACTACCTAAGAAGCCTCTTGACGATTGTTAGCAGCAGTCTTACTTAGGCTGTGAACCATTTGCCGAGTTAAATTTAACTCGTGGTTAAAAGTGACATTTCGAAAGTTATTTCTTATGTTCGAAAATCCCCGTGCTGTCGATCGACCGGTTTTCGAGCCACGGTTGTCAAAATTTAACTTCTTGTCTGTCAGAAATAACCATGCTCGGATAGCAGGGTTAACCGATAACTTTCCATCTGTCAAATTTTAACCAAAAGTTAAAAAAATTCGCCAAATGGTTCAGAGCCTTATATAGACTCTTGGCATGCGAAAATTTGGTTACAATGCTGTTGCTATGGTAGCGCCTGGAAGATGATGCGCAGTGGGGCAAAGTTGTGAAAATCGGACTTTTTGGTCAAGGTAGGCGTGCATGTTTTTTCCTTCATTGAAGTGACATTTTTTTTTTCAGAAGCAGTATCAACTGGAAAAAATGTAACGGACATGGACGCTTGAGGTCATGAATATGGGACTTGGTGGTACTTTTGCCAGGAACGGGCATGCTGGTGAGCCCTATCAGAATCTTTACAATTAATACCGGAGAAGCCGGACCGGAATTCCTAGCGGTTAATATGTGATTATGGAGTCGTGTTTATTCGTTCCGGGTGTTGGTGCGCTTCGGTTAATTTCTTGGTAGTTCCCGACTTAGTATTTTTCAGCTGAATCCAGTCGGGAATTACCAAGGAATTAACCGAAGCGCACCAGAACCCGGAACGAATAAACACGACTCCATCATCACATCTTAACCGCTAGGAATTCCGGTCCGGCTTTACGTGGCGCTGACGTCTCCTGATTTCCTCTATAAATTTTCCACTTTTGTTCTATTTCGCGCTATTGTCGATACATATGGTGTTGAAAATTGCCACGTTTGGATGTTTCCAAATATATTTTTTTTTTTTTCCTTTGGTTTGTTTTTTTCGTCGATCTTGTTTTCCGTGCTGAGCACCAATGCTACCGACGTGCCAGGAAGGCAGCTCCCACACCTGGACCCTACCTATCGACCCATCAACTCATGAACCGGGGACCAACGGCTTTACTTCCCATCCGAAGGAAGGCGTGATCAGAGATGTTATGCCTCAGAACATCCCGGCGGCGCCGACTGGGATTGAACCCAGGCCTGCTGGGGTGAGAGGTAATCACGCTTACCACTACACCACCGGTGCCGTTGTTTCCAAATATATTATATTAACAATATGATCCACTCTTTTGCTTAACTGGCAAATCAATTTTTAAACGATGAAAGCGCTTCTGTTGCCAATGTATTTGTTTATCATCACGAGGGGTAAATCAAATGAAAATTTGTATAATATTTTAAATGTTTTTATTTTATGCCAACAGTGACGTCAGACAAATTTGCATGTAATATTAAAAATGTAATTAACACTCCAAACACGATGCCTCCGGTAAAATATGGCAACGGCAAATTGACAATGTTTGAGAAATTGCTCAGCCATTTATCGATCCATTTTTAATCTATTGATGCCGAATAAATGTTGAAAGTATTTAGTTTCAAATGGCACCAATAGATTTGAAATTTGTTTATAAAAGGCTGACCTATGATTTTTCAAACATTGTAATTTGGCGGTTACACATTTTACCGGAGGAATCGTGATCGGAGTGTTACGTTCTATGTGCTATGTTCACGCCCCTCACGATTGAATGATTGTTGCTGACCTTTTTCATGACCTATAGATGGTGCCTAAAACAATATTTTTCGGGTTGCCATTGCAATGTACGGAAAAGGCATGAATGGATCATATTGTTAACCTATGATATATATTTTTGGTTTTATTTGGATGATGCATAATATTAAATTTGGTGTTTCTAGCTCATCTTCGTTCCACCACACCGTCGAATGCGCTGATCGATTGTCAAAAAATTCCAAGGTTGTAGCCTCAGCGAAAAGGTAGAAAGAGAAGAAACTGGAAACACCGGAAGTTCCGACAAGAAGTGTACACTCGTTGAAGCATTCTTACAGCGATACTAATAAAACAATGTTCTGCCACGGACCCGGAAAATAAAATAAATAAAATAAAATAATAAAAGGTTCAATAAAAATTATATTTTCTATTCGAAAGTTTCGACTCCTTTTTCTTTTCATCACTGTGATTTCATCGCATGTCTTACGTCCCTTTTTTATGTACGTCGCTTTAATTACGTCGTGCAAATTTCATCTTCATATATTCCATCGGTCTTGTGCTCTACATCAAAAGCGCTACAGTCACACAAAGAACAAAAAGTGTTGAAATAAAAATAATGCAATTTTGCATTAAAAGTTTTGCAAATTTCGTAGTTTAAACACAGAGAACAGACTGAGGCACAGACGTTGAGGCTCGAACTAAATTTCTGTAAAAACTTGTGTAAAAATTCCTATTCGACAAGCGCCACCAACACCGACTTCCCCACTTAAAAACCCTCTTTGACAACCTGATGGCGCTGGCATTGCACAACTTACACTAGACACTTAAGTACCGGTGGTAATTTTTAACCGAAAATTTATCGATACTAGCGCCAAATTGGTCAAAAGTGGAAAATGTATAGAGGAAATCAGGAGATGCTAGCGCTACGTAACGGCCACTTATCTTTACACAAGTTACTGGTGGAAATTGGACGTCTGTTATCTGTGGTCATATCGAGTAGGAAAAAATGAAAATGAATAACGTGCTCACAGGTAGCGTACCATTCGAGGCAGGTGTCTCATCCAGACTAAAAACAAAGAGTACTCAAAAGATAAGTCGAATCAACAACCCGGAAAACATCGTAAGAACAAAAGTGGCGGAATTATTCTAACCTTGGGCTGCACTCTCGAAATAATTAGCGAATACTGAGGTTCAAACATTCTAACTACAATTTTTTGGTGACGTCACATTTAGGTTATGGGTACTTGTATGCATTTCCTTATTTTCGGATCCGGATCCTGGGTGTTGTGGTGATGATGACGATATCGTGGCTGGTAGTGACGATACGGTTGTTGCTGATGGCGATACCGTGGTAGGCAATGACGGTACCGATGCTGGTGTGACGGTGGTACTAGTGGTAACGGTCAGCAGTGGGGGTGCCTGTCGGTAGTCGGGGATAACGCCACGGACAAACCGACATGAAACTTAATTCTGACTTATGTCCGAAAATCGTAAACGGTTGATTTAAAAGTGCAGTGATCCGAACTGTCAAAATCATAGGATTTTTTATCTTGATAAAAATAATTTGTCCAGAATAGATCATAACACAGAGAACAGACGTTCAAGTTCGGTCAGAAACTTGTGTAAAATAAGTGGGAACGTCGCCGTTACGTGGTGTTAGCATCTCCTGATATTCACTATAAATTTTCCACTTTCGACCAATTTGGCGCTAGTATCGATAAATTTTCTGTTGAAAATTGCCACTTGGCGCTACTAGCACTTAGTGTCTAGTGTAATTTGTGTAACGCCAGCGCCATCATGTTGTCAAAGAGGGTTTTTAAGTGGGGAAGTCGCCGTTAGTGACGCTTAAGTCAAATAGGAATCTTTACACAAGTTTTTAGAGAAATTTTGTTCGAGCCTCTATGTCTGTTCTCTGTGATCATAATAACTTTTGCATGCGGGTTCATGGCTTAGCTACATATTTCTCGCGAACACGGAGCTAGATGTCAGTAGTGTGCTTTGATCAGAAATTTTATTGTTTTTGTTATAGTCATTCATGTCGGTTTGTTGGTGATGACGCAGCAGATGTACTTGACCACTTTCAAGATGGCGATCAATGATGATTCGACGCCAGTTCTTGACCACGTTGTGATGGCGGAAAATTCCGTTCACACAATTGCAAATTTTTTCTTAATAGTTCTTCAAAGTGACTGTATCCAAAAAATCAAATCTGGTCCAAGTGTCTTGACATTTTTTAAATAGAGAGAGAAGTACGTTTTTTTGCAATTTGGCGTCGAACGGGTTTATCCCAGTTTTTTTACGGTGACATCGAATTTTCGATAAAAAAAAATACGCGGATCTCTAAGCCTACATTCAGAAATCGACCATTTTGTCGGTGATTCTGAATATCCAGAAGACCATTTTCTGGCCACCCGGTAGTAGAATATGTAGCTTCTGTAAAGATCTCCATGCTTTTTGTGAATTTCTTTGGACTTTTGCTCACTGGATTACCTGAAATTCTTCAAGATTCCCATAGGCTCTCTGGGCTTCCAAAGTTGAAGTTTCCAAAAGTTCGTTGGGCTTCTCTGAAGTTTTCAGAACATTTTAAAATTACTCTGCATTTTGATCGTCCCTGAAGTATGCCAAAGGAATTTTCCCTTAACGGAATTGACGCGAACCGGGTTGAACATTTCTTATTGGGGGGTAAAACGGCGTTGTTACAGCAGCTAATACCGTATTAGCGTATTAGTCTGTTATTTGGAATTAGCATCTTCAACTATACTATTGATTTTAAACAAAAAACTTTTGTGGAACATCTTTTGTTCAAGCACTTTTTTCATAAATACATTTTTGCATATCAAGCCAACCAAAAACCTTATGGGAAATAAATGAATGCTGACTATTTAATTCTGGACTGATCATGAGACGGAGTCAAAAGTTGTGGATCATTTGCTCTACCATAGGAAGTAGAGGTTTAAGTAACAACTTAGTTTTCAAATAAATAAAAACAAAATTTTAAGTTGAAAACACCATATTTAACACTGTTTCTCATTTATCAAAATAATGTTGTAATATATATGTAGGAAAAACTTGTTTTATTACATCAGTCAAAATATGAAAATATGATTGTAAATTAACACTGGCAATCTCTCGAGCTTTACAACAAATGTACACTTTCTGATAATCATTGGATGAAAATAGCAAAGCATACTTAAACAGATTCCACCAGCAAAGCGATACCCTGACCACCGCCAATACAGGCCGATCCGATCGCTCGCTTCAGGTTCTTGCGCTTCAGTTCGTGCACCAGATGGCCGGTAATTCTGGAACCAGTGGCACCCAAAGGATGACCGAGCGCAATAGCTCCACCATTCAGGTTGAATTTATTGATATCGAGTCCTAGCTCCTGCACGCAAGCCATAGCTTGCGCACCGAACGCTTCGTTGATTTCGAACAGGTCAATGTCTTCCTTCGTAAGTCCGGCTACTTTCAGCACGTTCTGGATAGCTGGAACTGGACCGATTCCCATAATCTCCGGCGGTACACCGACCGTGCTGTACGCTACCAAACGTGCCAATGGCGTGAGATTGTATTCTTTGACGGCTTCCTCCGAAGCCAGGACGACTGCAGCTGCTCCGTCACAAATACCCTGCAAAATCAGCGTATTAGGTAAAGAGTAGAATTTTAATTAGAGATTTAAACCGATCTTACCGAAGCGGTTCCGGCGGTTACGACGCCACCTTTCTTGAACAGAGCAGACAATTTATTCAAACCCTCCAGGGTAGTCTGTGGACGAGGATGTTCATCGACGGCAAAGTCTACTTCCTTGCCCTTCACCTTCAACTTGAAGGGCGTAATTTCAGTCTTGAAGACACCTTCATCGTTGGCTTTCTTCCAGAGTTGTTGCGAACGATAGGCGAATTCGTCGACCTTCTCGCGTGGAATTTTATGTTTATCAGCGAGATTTTCGGCCGTTAGCGCCATCGGCAGCTTGCAGAACGAGTCACTCAAACCAACCTAAACAGAAAAAATTATCTTGACTATTATACCAATCTTCATTGGGAATTCTAAATTCTTATTTATCACTCACCCATAGAGCATCCTCCAGCGCTGGATTGGTACCAAGAGGAATTCCAAAGCGAGCTCCTCGAACAGTATACGGCGTCTGGCTCATGTTGTCCACTCCACCGGTCAAGGATACCTTGGCTGCACCCAGCAGAATATCCTGAGCGCCATTGACGATCGACTGGAAGCCTGATCCGCACAGTCGGTTCACACCAAGCGCTGGACGGTCGATCGGTATTCCACAATGTAGGGACACGTGTCTGGGCAAGAAAGCACCATCCGAAGACGACAGCACCAGCACCTGACCAATGTTGACCGAATCGATTTGATCCGGCCTCAAACCGGCAGCATCCAAAGCGGCTTTGGCAGCTACAGTTTGCAACTGTGTGGCATTGGTGTTCTTGAATGCACCTCCGAAGGTACCAAAAGCAGTACGCTTAGCAGCGACGATAAAGACACCTGAAATTTGAATGGAATTCAGGGTAGTGTATCAATATTGGCTAAATGTCTGATATAGTATTCGAAAGATTAAAGTCCAACAGGCTACTCTGCGCTATCAGACGCGGAACAATGCTGTTTGAGTTAGCGTTGAGATAATGATGATTCTTTGAGCATGAGCTACAGGCTGTACTTGAAGTTGAATTGAAAATTTTAAAGGTAGATTATTTTATGTATAGGTAAATCAAGTTTGTTTTGACGAATAATTCTAAACATGTTAGCAACAAGTGGACTATCTACTACATATGCACTTTACTATCAAATCATACAACCCACCTATCCATGCGGATGAGAATGAGAAAGTAGTTGTAGCCGGAGTTGGACTTTGACCCAATAACAACGATGACTTGACACCAACCAGATTCCGGCTATTACAAAACACATACTCATTTTTAACAAATATTACAGACGAATTTTATGTATCTTCAGTTTAAAATTAGAACTTAATTACATAAACTGATAAGATATACGAAAGAGAAATTGTCCTCCATAGCGTATAAATCGACCACCATCATGTTATAGGTACTCACCCTTAGTCAAAGCTGCCATTGTTTTACAATAAAATGCACAATTATGATTGAAAGGCGTTTAAGGTAGGACTAAAGTAACAAATGCAATAAATTCTCAACTTCACTAACTATATTCTAGCAAATTAATGTAAAAGCAGTGACACTACGTGTGCTACGGTCCACAGTGGAATGAAGCGAATGACGTAGATGTAGGTGATACAGTGGGAATGAACACGATGAACCTCTGCCTTAATCAAACATGGCACGCACACTGATTTGAGGCATTTATACGATGCAAACAGAGGCAAACTTTCATGACTTTCTCATCTCTGTTGCAAATGTCCTATAACTTGGTGGAGTTGTTCATTGAGATGAAGTTAATCACTGCACCGTTAAATTTTCGTTTCTCAACAATCCGTTGTCATTATATTGTTAAGTATTACATCAAGTAGATTGAAATAGTACTTTTGAAAAGTATCCCCTGATAAACGATGCATTCGACCCATTGGCGTAGCTAACGGCAGTACCAAGTGGGCCAGGTCCCCTCCGGAATTATCTTGGCCTCCCCCAGGAGTTTTGGGTGTTTTTTTAACACCAGTATTTTTTCAAGCAGTTTCGATGTTACTTTTTATTTTTATTGATTTTTATGTATGTCTACTTTTCTTAATGTTCTAGACTAGCAGAAAAAATGTCGAGAATTTAATTTATATGGACACTTAATCGATAGCATAATAAGATGTCTTCATGCTCTACAAATTGACCAAGAGTTCGGGGATTTTTTTTAACCTCAGGGAACTTCGTAAAACTTCAAGGACTAATAAGAAGTTCATAAAACATCGTAGAAGTTAATGAAACTTCATAGATTGTGGGAATTCTGGGATCATCATAGAGCTTAAGGAAAATTCTTAGAAACTCAGCAAGCTTTGGAAAAGTTCAGAAAACTGCGTAGAAGTGGGAACTCTATCATGAGCTTGGAATAGTTCAGGGAATTACGTACCAGTACAAAAAATTCTATACGGTGAACTTCGCGGAAAATGAACGAAAAATGTAGAAGTGCAGCAAACTTCATATAAGTGCAGGGAATTTTGTAGAAGATCTAAATATAGTTCATCAAACTTGAAAGATCTTCAGTTTAGTGAACTTCGTTGCAGTTTTTCAGAAATCTTACTTTTAAAAAAACTCAATGAACTTCTTGGAAGTTTTAGGATTGGAATTATAGTTAAATTTGAGACATTAATCTTGATTTTATATCTAACTCAGTGATCTTGAAAGTTAAGTAGTCCTAGGTATAAAAATAATCTAGATAAATGCTTTATAATTTTGTTTTTTTCATCAAACATTTAAAATCCGGTAGGTATATTAAAAATCAGAATTCTCAGAATCAGAATAACTCTGTAGTCTGAACGTACTATAATAGCAACAATCAATACGAAACTAACGATTTTAAATTGGCTCACCACTTTAGTAGCCTATTGGTCCCAAGCAAACGATTAACGTACCCTATTCTAGTTGAAATTCTATTACTACACTATGTTTGTTTTGATTCGCTATGAAAGTTTGACAGATAACATCAGGGGTGTGTGGATTCATGCAGAACATGCAGGGGTGAGTGAAATAGCTTGGGACTGCTTGGGACCGTTGTTCTGGTACTGAGTGAGCCAAAAATAATAATGATTTTCTTCGGGACCCAGTGGTCTTAGAGTTACCTCTATGGTTTTACAGCTTACACTCTGCTCTTTTATAACTAGTCGAGAAAAGTGATTCATGTGCACTATTATAAAGCCTCTACTCAGCGATTTTGTTGTGGAAGGGAATGTTGATTTTTTTACATCAGTTCAAAGTGTTGGCGTAGCACAATTGGTAGTGTCAAGGTTTGCCAATGAGGTCGTCTCGAGTTCGATTCCAGGTTCCGGTGCAGGGTAAATAATTTGGTGATGATTTGTAAATAATTTCGATTAATTTGATTCACAGCAAAATAAACTCAATAAATTCCTTCATAAAAAACCGTAAACAGTATTTAACCCGGCTTCAAGATAAAGCTGTGTAGTGATTATTGGGGACAACCGGGAAAAGGTTGAATAAGCGCCTTTCAAGTTCACACACAACTAAACAGCAGGATAACAGCTGTATAGAAGCGTTAATGGATATGCAATAAGAGCTTCTCCCGACTGTTCCAACAGCCATAAGTAGCTGACTAAGTTCGCCAAATTTGCTTGTATAGAGGTTGAGTAAAGGTTTCTTCATATCTTATAACGTTTGAATACAGCTTGAGACTGTATAAATGAAATGAGTAAAGCGTTTACAATGTGAAAATTGTTAGTTGGGGAGTTATAACATGTTATAGCGTTATCTTGATGGTGCTTTCTGTGTTGCAATTAGTTGACAACCGTTGTAACATGTTATAACTCTCCAGTCTGGACAGCGTTTAAGTCTGAAAAATTATGATAATTGTACATATTTCGCGATTTTTAAGAATTTATTTTTACAATCTGAATCAGAGATATCTATGTTTTTAGTTACAAAATCTTTTATTTTTTGTTTACTATTTCGTTTATTTACCAGGCTTAGTCGATTTAAGAATTATTCATTGACATATATTTTGAACTTTTTTCTTTGTCCTAAATTTACTTATTCTGTGTGCACATTGCCATATTTCAAAATCAGAAATTATAAACACATAAAATAAAACTAATAGGATTTACTGTCTTAGATTTAATGATTAAATAAAGATGTTCTAAAAAATCTAGTTACAAAATTCATGGAATTATCTAAGCCTGAAAATTAAATAATATGAAAATTCTCCTAAGTTTGAGATCCTTAAAATCATTATGAGATCCGGACAATATGTAATTTCATTACAAAAATCTTGAACAAACGATCATTGTTTGTTCAAAATCAGTATGCTGATAAGGCTCCCTGAAGCGTTGTTATGAAATAAATACAATAAAATTAAATGTTTCACCATTAAAATAATAGTAAGCTTCGCCATAATAGGTCTTGTTATTGGACGAAGTAGAAATCTTTTTTCCTTTATTTAACGTCGGTCTCTGTTCCGCAATCTAGTGCCAATCACCGACGGACATCGATTGCCATCCATTGACGGTAATCGAATGTGCAGAAAGGCAGCTTCCACACCTGCGTAGGATATCGCACCCATTCACAACAACACACATGGGCCGGGACCAACGGTTTTACTTCCCTTCCGAAGGAAGACGTGACCAGAGATTTTTATGCCTCAGAAAAATCCCACCGACCTTGGCTGGGATTGAACCCAGACCCATTGGGGTGTTAGAAAGCAGTCACGCTTACCACTACACCACCGGCGCCGGCCGAAGTAGAAATGTATCCAACAGGAAAATAAAATAACAAATAGCCTTGACGCCTTTTGATTCAATGGTAGTTCCAGAGTTTCCATTTAATCGGAATTTAACAAAACAAACATCCCCCCCTACCCTACCCTACCATAAAATTTTCCAACTACGCCAATGATTTTACCAACCTCATGGTGGTCTCTCTCTCTCTCTAACTGGTATTATCCTCGGATTAAATCCAGATCAATAATGTCGACTTCAGAGTTAATCAACACGATTCTAAGCAAACGTTTTACAGATCATGCAAACAGGGACGGGACTAAAAGTTAATCCGAGTTGGATCATTGTGCAAATTTTATCTGTTCCTAAACATCCTATCAGAATCAGCATTTATTCCGTGTTCGGTGAAATTACTTATTTTACTGAGCTAAATCCGAATATGAAATCAGATTTTGTTGAAATGAACGATTTTGTTAAAATGATTTTATGTGAAAAACTGATGTTAATTGCCTACATTTAGGCGTATTTTTAACTATTTTGCAACAAACCACAACTATTGTTCAAATGTTAATATCAGATGCTTCTTCAGCGAACAGAAATCAAGTATAAATGTTAAGTTTTGAATATTGCACTGCATAAAAACCTGCATGATCAACTTTACCTCATTTACCTTATCCAATTTTAATTCAATAAACCAAGCGTCCATTTTTTTGTAGACTACAGGTTGCAGCCCTTTTGGGGCTCATTTGTCAAGGCTTGCTCTATCCAATAAATCCACAAATCGGACGCCAGAAGAGATAACCAATGGTGTTCGAATAGGCACTGCTAACACATTTGAGTAGGCACCTAAAGGGGAAAGCATGTTAATATAACGATTGTGTGAACTTACCTATGAATTCTGGGCTTACTTGTGTTGCTGAATCATCATCGGTTGACTGGGGATCCAGATACATTTCGATAAAGATGATGCTACCTAATTTACCTTTTATGTGATACTTATCATCACTGAATCCAACTTTGAATCGTAGACCAGATCCTTAAACAATACACTCGTTCCGAGAAGGGGTTCATGGTACCACCACGAAAAAGAGATACAACCAGGATTAGTTTTTTAAAGTAATAGTTTCATCTGAATACCCAACTAACCATATCTCAGTGACATTGTCTCCCTCTGAACCTACATTCATTTAACCTTTATGTTACTCTTTTGTACCATCATTGGGGCCACACTGAACTTGTTGATGTTAACAAAATAAACAAATAAACAAAACAGATATGGGGAAAATATAGATAAAACAAATAAACAGAAACAACTTGCATCAAACAAATGAGAAAATTGCAGTTATTGTGTACGGTTCATATAATTTATTAAGAGTATTCGTTTCTGCTTGTAACTGACATCCCTTCCCTTCTCATACCCTCCTGAGATAAAAATTAGAGGCTCAAATGCACAATCAAATAATTTTAGCGTCGTTGAGCCCTCCAGCAAAGGAAGGAGAGGGAACATAAAAGTTTGTTGTGGGCAAATATCCACGCAGGGTCTAGTCTTATTCTCTCAGGCTTTCTTTTATTATAAACATACACCACCTTTCCTTGTACTCATGTTTTATTAACCCTTATCAAACCCGACATGTTACAGAATGAAACATAAGAAGAAAAAAATATCTTGCTTCCTCCTTCAATCATTCTCGTAACAACATTGTGTTTTTGATATTGCTCATCAAGAACTTATCCGATCGAATATAAATCTTTCCACTCAATGTTACTTCTTCCCCTAATCTACAATTTGCTTCACCGCTCCATGGTCTCTTCTATTATAATTCACCATTATAAGTTTTGTGTTTATTTATCAATTTTGCTCTTCTTCTACCTCATTTTTATCTGCATTTTATAAGGTCCCACCTTAGGTTATCCAGTATAGTAAAAAAATAATAGTCATCTTCCTTTCTACCACGTGTTATGTTAAACTCAATAATCCTTCTAATCGTTACCCATTGGAAATTCCCGATTGAGGACTTCCAAGTCACGGTTATCAATCGCTTGCTGCAAATCCTGCCGTCCCATCAGGGACATCACCATACGCAATGTGGTCCAGATCGTACTGGACATCTGATTAGCCGGGGAGGATACATTAATTCCGGCACGCGCTATCGATGACGCCTGATGATTCAATGCCGTCAGCAGATGTTCGGTTGCTTCCTTATATGCCTTCAAATTTATACAGATGATGCCAACATTATAACGTGCTCTGATAAAACCAGGCTGGATTTCCAATGCCCGTTGGTACGCTTCGACTGCTTCAACGGATCGGTTGCCGTTGGCCAAACTTGCTCCCAAACGGTTCCATGTCTTCGAACTGTTGGGACGCACCTGAACTGCCGCTCGGAAGCAATCAACTGCTTTATCATATTCTGAGCTCAGATTGAAAAGCACACCTAAAGCTTCTTGAATATCAGCATCAATCTCATTAGGAGCCTGTTGCACGGCTTTGATAAACAAGTCCTGTACTTCTTGCAAGCTCGGGCCCCCCATCAACGAGCTTGCCAGCGGTGATTCTTCCGGTAGCATCATAACTGCTGGTACCAAGCTTTCGTACTTCGTACTACACTTCATCCACTTCACCAACATTTTCAACGCTTGGTTCTGCATACTTTCGTTCGTGTATGATACCGCCAGTGCCATCAGCACTGGCATATTGTTCGGATCGAACGATAGTGCCTTGTTCAAGGCAGCGATCGCATTGGGATCTTTTTCGTTTTCTGCCTGACTAAAGCCCAGCAGTTCCCAAATTTCCGGATTTTCCGGATCTTGCTTAACGGCTGCTTCAAAACACAAAACAGCACTCGGAATATCGCCTTGTGCTAGGAATGCCTTTCCCTTCTCGAAGGCATTCTCCACGTTGCTCATTGGGTTTTCCTCGTCGAATTTGTATTCCTTGTATGGATCGTAGAACTCGGAAAACTCCGACAACCAAGGATGTTGGCTATCATTCTCCGAGATCGAACGCCACTCATCCTGTAGACGTTCCCAGAACTGTTTGTTGTAGTTATCAGTCGCTTCCTGGTCACCCTTTTTGCCGTCCTCAAAAGCTTTGGCCCAATCTTCGGCGATGCCGGGCTCCTCCTTGGTAGCCACCTTCGACGGACCCGCAGCCAACTGGTCAAATTCGTTGGCCCAAACGTTGCCACCGGTGACCTGTCCATCGTCGATCTTCACGGTACCTTCGCCCACGTTGCCGACAAAGTTGAGAAACTGCAATGGGAAGGAGAGAGATTTACTGATCAATGTTGGGTAATTTCTGGAATAAATAGGCTAACTAGAGAACTGGGAAGGACCGAGCTGTCAGGAACATATCCGCACCATCAGGAAAGAGATCGTTGCCATTTGTTTACCAATCAAGGCACTTTTCCCATACCTACTGGAAGGAAGGAAGCAGTTCGGATATTAATAATTGCGCTAAATGAGGGGCAAAGTATCATTTGGCCACCCCAATAATTTTTTCTTAAATGTTTACCTTGAAGTGAAAAAATAATGTTACTGAGGTTGTCTGTAGAAGCTGCTATTCCAATACCTATGAAATTTCAATTCAACTCACCTTACCAATCATACTAAGGCTTTGATGGCCTCTGCTGTCTGAAGAAGTCCGTTTCATGTTCCGAGTTTCCTTATTTCGTGGCGTAGGTCTGTGTCGATTATTCCGATCCGCATTTGTTTCTTCGGTGCAACTTTATATTTTTTCCAGGGTTGCTTGTTGGGCCTGCTCCAACCCCGTGTCTCGGCGGGCGACCATCGTACACAGCTCTGTTTAGAGTTCCACTCAGGCACTAGCACGGTGATCAGCTGCTCCTAACATGGAGAACAGACGCTCGGTGAAGGATTTCCCCTATCACTATGGTTAAGACACCAGTGTTCACGTCGCACCTCTTCACTTTGCTATTACCGGACTGGCACCATTGCCCAGGCTACGTCACCCAGCTGTGTTCATGTTTCAGCTGGTAGTCTTTTGTTATCATATGACTCGGGGAGGCGTGAGGTAGGAACTTGTGAGGACCAGAGCTAAGTACCATATTAAGCATGTATTATTAAATTAAAGCTTCAATGAACTGAATGGGATTTTACCGATTCCATCCCACGAGGCCATATCCAGAACAACATGTGAAAAGGGCATACAAGCTTTTTGTAAGCAAACCTTCTTATGCCCTTTTCTCGCCACCCATATGACACCAACGCAAACCTTTAACATCACCGGGTAGGGGACACTTTCCCCTTCCCGATGATATTGCTGGTTTGCGTGGACGACCCTCGGTTGGTGAGAAAAGGGCCTACAAAGGTTTGTTTACAAAAAGCTTGTATGCCCTTTTCACATGTTGTTCTGGATATATGACCTCTGCCTTATACGAAATCAGCTGTCTAAAATAACCGTTCATAGATCAATATATATAAAAATGAATTTATGTCTGTCTGTCTGTCTGACTCTTATAGACTCGGAAGCTACTGAACCGATCGGCGTGAAAATTTGTATGCAGGGGTTTTTGGGGCTGGAAAAGGTTCTTATGATGGTTCGAGAGCCCTCCTCCCTGTAAAGGGGGGCTCCCATACAAATGAAACAGACATTTCTGCATAACTCGAGAACTAATCAAGCAAATGGAACCAAATTTGGCATGTGGAGGTCATAGGGGGTAACCCCTTAGATAAGGGGGTGGGGGGCTAATACAATATAGCATGCTTTTTTTTTAATTGGCGCATGAACTCAAGCTCACTCACTCAGCTTGTAATCATATATTTTCTTTTGCAGAATTGTAATATATTAAAATTATGAATTTGCATAAAATCAAAGAATTTGCTGCAAATGATGAACCTACTTGTTATCTCTGTATGTTGGTAAAAGCATACATCAATACAAGAGACCTGAGCAGAAGAAACTATCTTATCTATCTATAACTATCTATGGCCAACAAGCCAAATAACATTTTGTGGGATGTGTTACCAAAATATTTATGATTCTCCAAATTGTCCTGGAGATATTTTACAGGTTGATCGAAATCTTGTTCGATGTCCTCCCTGAATTATTATCGAGCCTTTTGCATTTCGCGGAGCCTCATAACAGCATTTCAGATGTGTAATAATCAGTGTTGGCAAAATCAGAAATCAATTGATATTTTTCTGCTCTCATGCGCTCGCAATATCACGCGTGATATTGGAACAAAATATCATGCTTGATATTGATTTTACAAGCTCCTTTGTTATTGCGAGACTGTTCACAATGTGCAAAAATCAAGCTGAGAGTTGACTCAACACAAAAATGATTCCATTGCACATCGTTTTTTTAGAAAGAGACAGCATAGTTTGCTATCTCTTTTTAATCTTCACCGATGGCAGACACGAAGGGACTGCTGCAAGCCGTTATGGAAATAATGGTTGCATTCGGGAGTAAAGCAAAAATCATTAAACTCAATCTCACCACAGTTTGGTGAGATTTGCAGTTGGTGAGTTTTGTTAGCTTGATATTCCGAGCTGCGATATCACAGCTTGCAAAAACAACCGCAGTAGTTTGATTGTTGATTTTTGTCTACGAAAATCAAGCGTGATCTTGGGCGTTGGTGAGATTTGATTATTTGATATTTTCCCAACACTGGTAATAATATTAAAAAATAACATTACTAATACAAAGTTGGGAGGAAATGCTATACTTATATCAACATGAAGCTTTAGTGCGATAATTTATTAGCTAGAAAAAGTTCCATATCTATAAAGAAATTAAACATAACCCTTTGCTTCAGTAACGTCAACCTCCATGTCCTTGGGGAGGGATTTTTCCGAACTCTGAAATTAATGTAAGAAGTAGCAACACACTTTGATTGAAATATTAATTCGCAAAATAATAATTGAAAGATCAGATCTTAAGGTTCTGCGGACTCAACAAGGGATTCTACGATGACTCGACTAAATGTTAGAAGCTTCATGGAGCCCCATAATATCAGGTTTGGTTTATTAGGTTCTCCTAAACGCGTTGAGTTCAGATCCTGATATTTTACACACCTAACAAGGTATTCTACGATGTCCCGATCTTGTGAACCCGGAAAGCACATAATGCATAAATTAGTTTTTTAGTTCATCTCGGGACCATTCATCTCATGACATTTTATTAGTTCGTTGCTTCGTTGTTCGAACTACTTAACTCGGAAAACTGTAGTAAAAGAACTCACACACGGCCAATGAGCGACACGTTCCGAAAAAAGTTCCTAAACAATCATCATCCTTGGCAAACAAGTGAACGCCGTATGTTAAAGTCTTCCAAAAGAGCCGCGCTAAGAAAATACACCAAGTACCACACCCTACAACTCAAGGACCATTATGCGAGGATCAATCATGCGTATCAACGAACCAGTCGCCAATGTTATCGGCGTTATCAACGAGATGTTCAACGGAAGCTTCGATCTCACCCGAAAACTTTTTGGAATTATGTGAATGAGCAACGAAAGGAGTCTGGCCTTCCATCGACTATGGTACTGAACGGCGAAGAAGCTTCATCCCCTCAGGACATTTGCCGTCTGTTCTCAACCAAGTTTGCGAGTGTATTCTCGGATGAGAACCTACCTGACGAGCACGTTTCTCTAGCAGCCAGTAATGTTTAAATGTCTGGTCAATCTTTGGCAGCTATCAACATCGACCTCGCTAAACTAAGTAGGGCGGCTTCGCAACTGAAGTCTTCATTTAAGCCTGGACCTGACGGAGTTCCTTCCGTTTTTCTCAAGCCTTCACATCGATAGCCTGGTAGCTCCTTTCTGCCTTCTGTTCGAAATGTCCCTCTCCAGTGGGGTGTTTCCTTCCTGCTGGAAATCAGCTGAGATGTTTCCAGTGCATAAGAAGGGATGCAAAAGAAACATCGACAACTATCGCGGCATCACATCGTTGTGAACCAGTAGTCTCTCACTTCAAGCAGCACTTGAGCGAAGACCAGCATGGTTTCATGGCAGGGCGGTCAACTACTTCCAACCTTCTGTGTCTCACCTCGTACATTACGGAGAGTATGACAGACCATATGCAAACATATGTCATCTACATTGACCTATCAGCCGCCTTCGACAAGTTGAACCATCCTATAGCGATCGCCAAACTGGATAGGCTCGGTATAAACGGCAGTTTCCTACGATGGTTCGCGTCCTATCTATCTGATCTGCAACTTCCAAGCAATCGACGACTGCCGATCACCTTCGTTTCTTGCCACTTCGGGTATTCCGCAAGGTAACCACCTCGGCCCGATGATATTTCTTGTGTATTTCAACGACGTCAACTTCGTCCTCGATGGTCCAACTCAACGCTTTTGCTAATTGGTGCCAACTGAACCGCATGGTTGTAAATCCAACAAAATGTTCAGTAATCACGTTCTCACGGAAGAAACATCCAATTGCATTCAGTTATATCCTAGAAGGCGTTGACGTACATCGTATGAATCACATTAAGGATCTGGGAGTCATCTTAGATTGTCAACTCATCCAGAACGCTCGGCTTCATTTTCAGGATAGCTAAAAGTTTCACGGACATCTACTGTTTGAAGTCGCTTTACTGCTCCCTCGTCCGGTCGATGTTAGAGTACTGCTCCCCTATATGGAATCCCAATTACCAAAACAGTGTACAAATAGTAGAGTCTATTCAATGACGATTTATCAGTTAATTCACCTGGATCCTTTGTGGTGCCGAAGAGATACGACAAGGGCCCTGTTTGTGGCAGACATTCTACAGGGCGAATCGATTGTCCTTCTATTCTACAACAAATCGACGTTAACGTTCAACCACGAGCACTCCGTAACAACGCAATGCTGAGGATACCTTTTCGTCGTACAAACTATAGTTCGGATGGTGCTATAAATGGGCTACAAAGGGTTTTCAATCGTGTTGCTTCCTTATTTGATTTTCACTTGGCAGGCAAGAAGCTGCGTCAGAGATTCCGTGATATATTTTTAAGGATTGGGAATTAAGTTGAACTTCACGACCTTTGATGCTTGTTACTCCTTGACTATATTGTATTTCCTAGTATTGCTTAATCCATCATTAGAACTAAACCGAAGACAACAAATCAAGAAGACTGGCAACTCTTCCATTGTCTCATACGAACGCTATGAGATAGGTACAATCGCGTCATCTGCCGCTCAAAGGTAAATGCTTCGAACGAATTTGATAGCAAAGATTACATCCTCAGACGAAGGGTTTGTGTATTTGCTCATTTTTCTACGTGTTGCTTCCACCTTCACTCAAGCGCAGCGCTACTGTATCTGTCGCTTGGATTCTGGCAAAGTTGCCAGTCTTCTTGATTTGTTGTCTTCGACTAAACCCAGTCTGTTGATGTAGAAACAAATAAACAAACAAATAAACATGGCCAATGAGATAATCCTAAATTTGAGTTCAGTTTACTCATAAATCGCAAAAAGTGCAGGAGCTTAGCGCTGAATAAATTTTCCTGAGTTTGTCCTGTTTATTTCAGGAAAAAAATTCCAGAATTTGAGAATAGTCAAGATTGGATTCACTCAGTCTATTGGTACTACTTCTGGACTAAGTAAAATTTTCTGCAATTTTCCTTATTTTCCGGCAGTTTTTTTAGGTTTTCCACAGGCTTATTTACTCATCGCTGCACTTTTTGCGATTTATGAGTAAACTGAACTCAAATTTGGGTCGATCTCATTGGCCGTGAACTTCTCCTCCAATGACAGCCAAAGCTATGACTGTTCCAGGAAAATTATTGTCCCGCGTTGTTCCTAGCGTCCATCCGCTCTAAAATTAGTCAACATAATGACGAAACGAGCTGGAGATGCTCGGCGTCTCGTTAAAAGGCGTGGATTGGTTTAGATCCTACTTGGTGAGCCGCTCAGTACGGGTCAAGATTGGCACGTCGGAATCGGAAGTTTTTTCTAAAGACTCAGGTGTCCCGCAAGGCAGTAACCTGGGTCCGCTACTGTTTTAAAGTTTCTTACGACGTCTCCTTCCTGCTACCATCAAGTTGCCGGCTTTTCAACGGCGCCGGTGGTGTAGTGGTAAGCGTGATTACCTCTCACCCCAGCAGGCCTGGGTTCAATCCCAGTCGGCGCCGCCGGGATGTTCTGAGGCATAACATCTCTGATCACGCCTTCCTTCGGATGGGAAGTAAAGCCGTTGGTCCCCGGTTCATGAGTTGATGGGTCGAGAGGTAGGGTCCAGGTGTGGGAGCTGCCTTCCCTGGCACGTCGGTAGCATTGGTGCTCAGCACGGAAAACAAGATCGACGGAAAAAACAAACCAAAGGAAAAAAAAAGTTGCCGGCTTTTCTACGCAGATGATTCGAAAATTTAGAAGAATCTAAAAAGCCCCTCGGACTGTTGGGATCAACATAGTATGTTATGTACTTTTGCTGACTGGTGCTCAAGCATCGAAAAATGTTACATAATTTCCTATCATCGTAAAAACGAATCTTGTCTTGCTCGTGTAGAGCACAAAAAGGACCTCGGTGTTATCCTGGATTGTGGACTGACATTCAGAATCCACTACAACGATATTATTGCCCGAGCGAATCGTCAATTGGGCTTTTTTTTTCAAAATTGCCGACGAGTTCTGTGATCTGCTATGCCTCAGGTTACTTTACTGCTCACTCGTCCGATTGGAATGAAATTGTGTTGTATGGTGCCCTTTCCAAGCCAACTGGATCGCCAGAATTGAATCCGTTCAACGAAAGTTTGTAAGCTACGGTCTTCGTTTTCCCAAATGGCGTTAACCAACGAACCTGTACGAGGAGCGCTGCCGTCTCCTGAGCATTGAACCGTTCGAGGTTAGACGGACGGTCGCTCAAGTTATGTTATCTGGAAAGCTGCTCACGGGTGACATCGACTGTCCTACATTGCTGGCACAGCTAAATCTGTACGCTTCCGAGAAACCTCTTCGTCAACGTGACTTTCTATATTTTGAACCACAGAGCAGGGATTAAGTACTAGAGAGGGACTAGTATAAGAGAGGAGCGAACTGGCTGGTTTTGAGCCAAACGAACTGTCAAAGCCAGAGCCAATCGAGCAGCGCCTATCTTGATTGCATTGGCAGTGTTGCAAGAAATCAACTAGACATACCAAGGCAGTATGTTTTGAATCCGCTCCTCTATTATACTGCCGCTATTCGCATGTCCGTCCCATAGCGAAAATCACTAAGCCGAGAAAATCGCGTTTTAAGTTTGCTTCGTACCATTGCTTCTTATGTGATGGGACAACTAATTTGACTGTATTTCCAAACTTTTTCAGAACAAAGTTGTTGAGCTCATCCAGTATTCTGAAAATATGTGTGATTATCTACCATTTGCATTGAAAAACTCAGTTTTGATAAAAACAACTATGGGACCGACATGCGAAGAGCGGCAGTATACTAGACCCTCTCTATTATGTACTACATGAGCCAATTCGAGCAATCAACCAGCAGTTCAACAACTTCTTTCGTGTGTTCGACTTCAATGTGTCAGCTGACGTGTTTTATCATCGGCTACTTGGCCTTTTTCATACCGTTGACCGTAACTAATTAGTTTAAGTTTTATTGATTTTGACACTAACTGCCAGTTAAATTATTAATAAACAAATACAAATACCTAATGCATTACTTGTCACACAATCGTTTATACATCCCGTCCCCCCTTAGAGCGTGACATAATATATCCATCAGAGAGAGAGAATCCTGAGAAAAACGAGCCATGCCAGTTATTTCGAATGCCCAGGACCACATTGTTTCAAATTTGGTCAAGTTTCAAATTTTCCCGGAAAATGACCAGAGTCTGAAACCAAAACTTATAATGTGACATATCAAATTACAAAGAAAGGTTGGTCATATTGTTTGTTCAATATCTTCACAAAGATCGAGCATTTATCCAAACAACTTTAGAAATAATTTCGATACCATTCTGATAAGATACGATGGTGTTTTCGGTAACAAATCAAGCTGAACATTGCATTAGGTCCTAAGTAACATTGGCAGATTCTCTTCGTCGACCTTCTCTTTGTATCCCCACGGCCATGTAACGACATTCCCAGGTATTTTCAGCACACTGATCGATAAAATAAGCTTTTAATTAATTTTTTTTTTTTTAAACACAACAAGAAACGTATATGTGGTCAAGTTATTTACGAAAGAGAAAGTCGACGAAGAGAATCGACCAATGTTACTTAGGACCCAATGCAATGTTCAGCTTGAAATTTCAAATAGCGTTGTATATAATATGTCATAAATATCAACACTAAAATTAAACAACTTTAAGCTTCCTTGGATTGAATATGCGATATGTTTACGGCCCCAAAGTGATCCGCTGATGCACGCCGCCGCGTCGAGGCTAAAGACCCAAGCGCAATGACAGCGGCAGCGGAAAAGCCCGATCTGAGTAAGCGTATTTGTTGGATTGAAAGCTAGTTAGTATCAAATCGACTTCGGTTAGTCATCTTGATGTAATTTGTTTGGGCCTTAAAGTGCCACCCACATTAGATTAAAGCCCTACAGTTAAAGTATGGACGTCTGTTATTGTTCCAATCGAACCGTCAAAATGCACCGCTTTGCTCAATTGTAACAGCTTTTTTAGTTTTGTGGTGACAGTCGTCCATACTTTAACTAGGGGGCTTTACATTAGATAAGTAAAGTGGGAGCTAAATCTATTGTCTAACTGTCAAATTTATATCAACGCAAATGGATCTAATGTGGGTGGCCCTTAAAACAGCTTCTACGTCGCCGCTGCCGATGAAATGACCGGCGCACAGGTCTACGCTCTGTATTGGTTGTGAAAAACTGGCTTTAGTGACTATTTTTAGGAAAATAATGACTTTAGTGACTTTTTGGTGTAAAAAGTTACTTTTTAGTGACTGACTTCAAAATAGTGACCTCCACTAAAAAGTGACATGCTATCAGCCCTGATATTAGTGAAAAAGATAGTAAACAATGAATACATACGCATAGTGAAAAATAATTTTCAACTTGAGATGGACACATCACTCGCCTAATAACTTATATTACATATACATTCAACGATAAAGATAGCAAATATGGAACCCTTTGATCGTACTTAACACAAAGTAGATTGAGATTAACTCCTTACCGTGTCCGTTTGACCGACTGACGTCGAACAACTGCTGCACTCACACGTGGCGATGCGTCTCTTTCAAAGGTTAAACATAGAAGGATAATGAAGAAAAATAGTCGCTTATATTTCCATTCTCACCGATCATTTAAGGTAAAAATCGCAAATTGTCTGCGCAACAGTACGCGTAGTAGAAGCCGTATTTAGTATCAGATGTACAGGAGAGTACAATAACACTACTGTTAATCGGTTCAAACATGCTTATCAAATGGACAAATCACGTGCAACGATGTTTGTCCTTGACATTAACCATCTGTAGTGGACTACATGATCATGCTGTTAAACACACATCAATCACGACTCATCTAACTGCATTCAATACTGTAAGTACTGATGAATTTACAATATTTCAAAATTACTTTAGTCACCTTCTTGGAGAGAAGGCCCCACAAGGCCATCCAACCCGCCAGAATGTGGTGGTTGAAGATTTCCAATAAGAACGCTCTGTTTTAATCACTCTAAATAGCACGCGTCACATTATCCAAAATACCGAAAACTAATGACCGTACTTAGACAACTAGTTTACCTGCCCCATCTATGGCATTCGGTATAATACGGCAATGCAATTCATCATACCAAGCGCTACTCACCTCGCTGTAGTTCATCTTTTCTGGTTCATGTCCGTAGGCAACTTCCGCCAGTTCACCGGCGGCCTTGCGGATCGAAAACTGCTCTTCCTCGCTCTTCGGTTCATTCAAGTCGAAAAAATCCTTCGCATATAGAATATTACTGGGTCCATCGCTAATTGTTCCCTCGATTGGAGCTAGGTGCGCGCTTGACCAAATCTGCAACATCAGACAAGCACAAAAAAGCAAGATAAAAAAAATGCCCACTCATCGGCTCCGTTTAAACAAAGATAATCTGATATTCATCATACTCACACTGGTAAGCTTGCTCTCGGCACGATGGCCCTGGTGAGCCAAACCTGCTCCACCAGACGTGTCACCTGCAAACTCTTTAGCCCAGTCCATATCTGACCGGTTGACCTCCTCGATAACCGGCGGTCCAGGTACAATTTGTCGCTGATGAAAATTTTGCGCATCAATATCCCTCATCTCCTTCAGCAGAACATCCATTCGGAAGGATTGGGGCGCCGGAGCAATCTGACCCATGAACTCCTTAACCAGATCATTGTCCGATCCTATAAAGGCCGAATGCCTGCCGGAGAATCCTTCGTCTTGGAACGCAACATCCCGAGTCACCTGGCGGCCCAGGTTCATCAGCGGATTTGCTCCTCCACATTCTGGCTCGATTAAATCCTTGAAGGACATGGTTGCTATCTTGCCACAGATCTCACACTACCAATGGTCCCCTTGTTGCCGTCACCGTCAGCCACAGATAGGTTCCACTCCTCGCGAAAGGGAGAGGTCTAAAGGTCGAATTCTACCACTATCTTTCTAAACACGAACCATTGTTGCCCGTCGGGATGTGCTACTTCTCGGTGGAGCAGCTTCGGTCGGGCGATGTTGCTCGCACAACCACTTTCAGGGAGAACCCTTCCAGCCGTTCCCGGAACCGAAATCAAGCAGAATCGCGCACGATCGGAGCTCACGATTATGATAACAGAGATAAAATTGATAACACCAAATATTTCACCAACTCGCTACGAAGTGAAGTTTCACTTCTTTTACTATTTTTTTTTTGCGAATTTGGCGAGATGGCTGTCATCATGTCAACATCAGGGCTGGTGGTGCATTCACGAAAAGGTTGTCTCATCGTTTCACCAAAGCTAATGAAATATTTCAGAACCACAGTGGAAATAAATGAAAAATTGGCCAAAATTCACACTGGCGATTATCGTGATTATCTCAAGGGGCACGCAATACAAAGAACCGGTGCGTTGAAGTTAAAATGCAATCAAAAGTATTTAAAATAATTAATGCGTTTTGAAGTAGTACTTACGGTAATTAAAATTATCTATCCGTAATTAATGTAATTAAAAGTGTTGAAAATGTAATTAATGTACTTTGATTGTGAAATTTCAACTATAATTGGGTTCTTTAAGGTTATTTAGGTAAATGCATATTCGTAATCTGCTTTAAAAATGGAACCCAAACCCACAATTTCATTAATTTTGGTACACTGGAACTATTTTAAATAAGTACGATTACATTTGCAAAAATCACCTTATTAGCGCCCCTCGGTGTCACTTTGTTATTATTTTAATAATAACAGTGAAGTTATTATTTTGCTTTATATCTTGATTTAAAAATCGGGATGAAAGTGTGTGGGTTCGAAAAAAATATCGCTGTGCTCAGAAAACGAACCCAATTAATGGAGTTAAGGAGTCGTCCATTAATTATGTCACACATTTAGGGGGGAGAGGGTTTTGAAAACTGTGACGAGCCATACAAAAAAAATTAAGGTTCATACAAAAAATCTGACAAAGGGGGGTTGAAAATGGGCCAAATTTGCGTGACATAATTAATGGACCATCCCTTAAAAGTAGTTAATGTTCTACATTGTGTAATTAATATAATTGGGTTGTTTAGGGGTATTGAAGTAAAAACATATTCGGTATCTGCATTAGGTTGGTTGGTTGGTTGTCTTTATTAAGGAGATTTTCAGCCAGACGCTGCCCAACAAACAATTGAGAGCTCTTATAAAACACCTGAGTTGATCAAACGTTGAATAATAGCTTCCAGAGTTGAACAAGAATGTAGTTGTATTGCCATTTGATTAAAAGTTTTAAAAGCTGTTGGAGCACTCTTAAATGATTGTTTACGTTCGGTTTAACTATATGCTTTATAAGACCTACGATAACTTTTATAGCACCTTAGTTAAACTGATTCACAAGAGCTATACAGAACGTGAAATAAACGCATCAAAACAAACAATTGGGAGCTCTTATAAAACACCTGAGTTGATCAAACGTTGAATAATAGCTTCCAGAGTTGAACAAGAATGTAGTTGTATTGCCATTTGGTTAAAAGCTTCAAAAACTGCTTGGAGCACTCTTAAATGATTGTTTACGTTCGGTTAAACTGTTTGACAGGAGCCATATAGGATGTGGAATAAACGCATCAAAACAAACCATTGGGAGCTCTTTTACAACACCTGAGTTGATCAAACGTTGAATAATAGCTTCCAGAGTTGAACAAGAATGTAGTTGTATTGCCATTTGATTAAAATTTTTAAAAGCTGTTGGAGCACTCTTAAATGATTGTTTACGTTCGGTTTAACTATATGCTTTATAAGACCTACGATAACTTTTATAGCACCTTTGTTAAACTGATTGACAAGAGCTATATAGAACGCGAAATAAACGCATCAAAACAAACCATTGGGAGCTCTTATACAACACCTGAGTTGATCAAACGTTGAATAATAGCTTCCAGAGTTGAACAAGAATGTAGTTGTATTGCATTTTTGGTTAGAAGCTTCAAAAGCAGCTTGGAGCACTCTTAAATGATTGTTTACGTTCGGTTTAACTATATGCTTTATAAGACCTACGATAACTTTTATAGCACCTTTGTTAAACTGATTGACAAGAGCTATATAGAATGAGAAATAAACGCATCAAAACAAACCATTGGGAGCTCTTATACAACACCTGAGTTGATCAAACGTTGAATAATAGCTTCCAGAGTTGTACATGAATGTAGTTGTATTGCCATTTGGTTAAAAGCTTCAAAAACTGCTTGGAGCACTCTTAAATGATTGTTTACGTTCGGTTAAACTGTTTGACAGGAGCCATATAGGATGTGGAATAAACGCATCAAAACAAACCATTGGGAGCTCTTTTACAACACCTGAGTTGATCAAACGTTGAATAATAGCTTCCAGAGTTGAACAAGAATGTAGTTGTATTGCCATTTGATTAAAAGTTTTAAAAGCTGTTGGAGCACTCTTAAATGATTGTTTACGTTCGGTTTAACTATATGCTTTATAAGACCTACGATAACTTTTATAGCACCTTAGTTAAACTGATTCACAAGAGCTATACAGAACGTGGAATAAACGCATCAAAACAAACAATTGGGAGCTCTTATAAAACACCTGAGTTGATCAAACGTTGAATAATAGCTTCCAGAGTTGAACAAGAATGTAGTTGTATTGCCATTTGGTTAAAAGCTTCAAAAACTGCTTGGAGCACTCTTAAATGATTGTTTACGTTCGGTTAAACTGTTTGACAGGAGCCATATAGGATGTGGAATAAACGCATCAAAACAAACCATTGGGAGCTCTTTTACAACACCTGAGTTGATCAAACGTTGAATAATAGCTTCCAGAGTTGAACAAGAATGTAGTTGTATTGCCATTTGATTAAAATTTTTAAAAGCTGTTGGAGCACTCTTAAATGATTGTTAACGTTCGGTTTAACTATATGCTTTATAAGACCTACGATAACTTTTATAGCACCTTTGTTAAACTGATTGACAAGAGCTATATAGAACGCGAAATAAACGCATCAAAACAAACCATTGGGAGCTCTTATAAAACACCTGAGTTGATCAAACGTTGAATAATAGCTACCAGAGTTGAACAAGAATGTAGTTGTATTGCATTTTTGGTTAGAAGCTTCAAAAGCAGCTTGGAGCACTCTTAAATGATTGTTTACGTTCGGTTTAACTATATGCTTTATAAGACCTACGATAACTTTTATAGCACCTTTGTTAAACTGATTGACAAGAGCTATATAGAATGAGAAATAAACGCATCAAAACAAACCATTGGGAGCTCTTATACAACACCTGAGTTGATCAAACGTTGAATAATAGCTTCCAGAGTTGTACATGAATGTAGTTGTATTGCCATTTGGTTAAAAGCTTCAAAAACTGCTTGGAGCACTCTTAAATGATTGTTTACGTTCGGTTAAACTGTTTGACAGGAGCCATATAGGATGTGGAATAAACGCATCAAAACAAACCATTGGGAGCTCTTTTACAACACCTGAGTTGATCAAACGTTGAATAATAGCTTCCAGAGTTGAACAAGAATGTAGTTGTATTGCATTTTTGGTTAGAAGCTTCAAAAGCTGCTTGGAGCACTCTTAAATGATTGTTTACGTTCGACCAAACACAATTTTGTTGCTAAAAATAGCACAAGTGATAGGCATGTTTATATAACCATAAGGCAATGATTATTCGACTGCAAGAGAAGTCACTCAAGATGAGCTTGATATACTTCTCTCATATGATCAAAATATGTATTCAAGAATAGAGCAGATGGAAACAGAAGCGGCTGGCAATCCGGGATCATGAGTTCGAATCTTGCTTCGAGAAACCTTTGGTGGAGTAGAGGTAAATTATATATAGGTGTTATTAATAAATGCAAACATTAATTTAAGACATATATCATATAATCAACGATAACATTTCTAGATAAATTCTCTCAATTAATGATTAGAGAGATTAATTGAAAGAATATCAATCAAAGATTAAACAGATGCTTGTTACTACTTCCTCCATGATCACAGAATGTGAATTATGGCATCATTACATATTTTTTCAATGTGCACAAATAAATTAAATTAATAAAAACTGTACAAGCAATTATTTTGGCGCACCACGACAATTGTTAAACTAATTTTAATCTGTGAATATTGTGAGTACTTACACAACGGTTATTAAGGAGTCATTAAAAAGTGCTATAAACGCTTTTCACCGCTTGCTGTATAGTGATTATTTAGGAGTCATAAAAGAGTGTAACAAACGCCTCTCAGGTTCAATCTCTAATACATTTCGAAGCAGCTGTTAGGAGGTGTCTACAAACGTTGTATTAGAGCTTTCACCAAAACAATAAAGCTTGAGTTTAAATATGTATCTATAAACGTTGTATAAAAGTTGCTTCTATCCGGTTGTTAAGGAGTCATTGAAAAGTGCTATAAACGCTTTTCACCGCTTGCTGTACAATGATTATTTAGGAGTCATAAAAGAGTGCAACAAACGCCTCTCAGGTTTACTCTCTACTAAATTTCAAAGCAGCTGTCAATAAGTGTCTACAAACGTTGTATAAGAGCTTTCACCAAAATAATAAAGCTTGAGTTTAAATATGTATCTATAAACGTTGTATAAAAGTTGCTTCTATCCGGTTGTTAAGGAGTCATTGAAAAGTGCTATAAACGCTTTTCACCGCTTGCTGTACAATGATTATTTAGGAGTCATAAAAGAGTGCAACAAACGCCTCTCAGGTTTACTATCTACTAAATTTCAAAGCAGCTGTCAAGAAGTGTCTACAAACGTTGTATAAGAGCTTTCACCAAAATAATAAAGCTTGAGTTTAAATATGTATCTATAAACGTTATATAAAAGTTGCTTCTACTCCTATACCGCGTATACATATAATGCTGTAGTTGAACAGGTTCTCCAAACCAGTGTAAACAAGAGTTTTACAGAAGTTGTAATAAACAAATTGTACAGTTATTATTCAGCATGCAGTTGAATAAAATCACAATGGAAGCGTTTCTTCAACAAGAAATTGATTTTGGATAAACGTTTTACTGAATACGTTAGACAACACCTTTGTGTTGCAGTTGTATAGGTTCTCCAAACCAGTGTAAACAAGGGTTTTATAAAAGTTGTGGTGAACACATTGTGCAATTATTATTCAACATGCTACTGAACAAAATCAAAACGAAAGCGTTTCTTCAACTGGAAATTGTTACTTGGGTGGTTCATCTCCGGCTATCTGCATTAAAAATGGAACCGAAATCCAAAA